GAGGATGCTCTAAAATCTATGGGTGAGACACATAGTTACAAATAAGGATTTTCAAGAATAAAAGTGAAGGTATGGCATTTAATAAATATGTACCACCAAAACTCTGTAGCCTATTCCCCTGATAGGGTGAGAATATAGAAGAGGAGAAATTAATTGAAAATTTTGCATTTTTGTAGGTAGTGGTTTTGAATAAAACATACATGTATTTAAATGTGTTGTCAAGATGTGACTCTCACACTTCAGAGTTCCTTTTACTTGCTCTTGCAAATTGCTTCTCTAAAGTAATTTTCCTTAGCAAATAATGTCAACAGTTCACAAAAATTTCCAGAATTTAGGGAAATGTTTACATATAGTTGACCTGGACATAAATTTACATAGATGTAGATCCATTGTTGAATGGGGTAAGTGAATCACATCAATTCTGATCCAAGCAAGAAGCTCTTACCAGTGCGATTTGCACAGCCTCTTCAGGTGTTCCCTGCTCCCTCCTTAGGGGCTGTGTGTGATTGATTATGTTCTCATTAGACTGTTCAAATGACAGTTCAACTTTCTTTTGTGTAAAGACAAAATGTCTTTCTTTACAGATGAAGAGGTCATTGTGTAAGTGCATGAAAATGGTTTGCATTACATTTTTGGAGTCACATTAGCTCTTTGATATATTAATGAATCTGGTTAGCATCACATAATAGTACCAACGTTTGCCTTTTGTGTCTCACTCCCTCAAAAGGGAATTTTCCAAAAAGTGTATTTTGAGCGCCTCAGGTTTAAAGAAAATTTCACAGCAATGATGACCATTGGTTAAAACTATTGAGAAGACTAATGATTTAAAGTCTACTGAAATAAGAAATTTAAGAAATACAGTAGTTATCAGAATCCATATTCCAATTAATTAGAAAATTTTTTTGTAAAACAGCAGTAGAAAATGAGAAGAAACTTTCTTTTCATTGTACAAGGAGTAAAATCAATCTATCTATCTATCTATCTATCTATCTATCTATCTATCTATCTATTTGGGGGGTGGGGGGGTGGGGGGGTGGGTACCAGGGATTGAATCCGGGAGCACTCCGCCACTGAGCCACATCCCCAGCCCTATTTTGTGTGTTATTTAGAGACAGGGTCTCACTTAACACCTGGCTGTTGCTGAGGCTGGCTTTGAACATGTGATCTTCCTGTGTCAGCCTCACGAGCCGCTGGGATTACAGGCGTGCTTTTAATTGAGTTGAAAATTGGTGCCCAATTCTTATTAGCTCCAGAATTTCACACTGAATTTCTTGAGTCAATCCCTTGCTTATAGCTCATTCCTAATTTTTTCATCCTTTTAAGTGACATTTTACTTGTTTTGTTTTTATAGTGCTTGGGATCAAACATCAGAGTCTTAGATATGCTAGGCAGGTACTTACCATTGAGCCACATCCCAGCCAATGAGACCGGTTTTTAACACTGCCACTACAATCACTCTTTCTGCCTAAGCTAACTACTACTTAACCCTCATATAACAGATGAGATAATTGAGCCTTAGGCTAGTTAAGAGAGTTAACTAATTCAATCTAAGTCGGTGTTAATTTTTTGCCGTTATATCGCTTCAATAGATACCCTGCACACATATCTTTGGTCACTCTTCTTATTTTTCCCCAGGATAATTTTCTAGATTTGGAAGTGCTGAATCCAGGAGTACACATAGTTTTTTTGGTTTTATGTTTTAATACTGGTAGCAGCAATGCCCAAGGGGGGAAATAAAGCAATGACACGAGCCTGAAAATTTGTGTCACTGATTGCCATCAGAGTTGGCCCCGCATTTCCCATCAAAATCTATCATGTCTTTCCCCTTGTCAAAAGGAACCTTGCCTAGGCCTTAGAAAGGAAATGCACCTTAGCCTGGGAGATTTTTCTCCCAATTGCAAGCAACAATGGCCATGACTTGAACACACCTGAGCCCTTTCTTGGAGAAGGGAGAAGAGGTGAAAGGTGACTACTGCAGAGGACATGTGACAATGGCTGTTTGTCCTTACTTTGAGGCTTCACTGTGAATGGAACTTTAAACCAAGCGCTGTTTTACTCCAAGCCTCTCTTCAGATTCCTTGGAAATGTCCCTATCTGCTCCTGCCCAGAAGCGGCTTTAAAATCGACGCAGACTTGAACCAAACAGTAGCCTTTTGTTAGCATCCCTCAACAACATGTCAAATCCTGTTCTTTGAGAAAGTTAAATAAACTTTTGTGCTGAGAGGATCCCAAATGTTAAATTTAAAATGAGAGTGAATTTCCATCCCTTAGTCACTTGAAATGAATGACTAACCCCAATGATAATAAGGCCTTTTTTTTTTTTTTTTTAACAGTTGGAGGTATCTATACTGTGATTCAGACAAAGGCCAAAACAACAGCAGATGAATGGGGAGAAAATTATTTTCTGATAGGTCCATATTTTGAGCATAATGTGAAGACTCAGGTGGAACAATGTGAACCCATGAATGACGCCGTCAGAAAAGCTGTGGATGCAATGAACCAACACGGCTGCCAGGTAAAGGACTGACATTGAACCTCACAACTCTCAGCAAGCCGTTATGGGGAAACAGGACTCAAATTTCAGCAACTCCTAGGAGAAGACCCTCCACCTACTTAGGGAAAAGAGAGGGTTTGTGAGAAGGATGATGAACTTGGTCTTGAATAGATTGCACTTGAGACGCCTCATGAAGACCAAGGTGAACTGTCTAACAGGGGGCAATGGATTTGGAGTTCTGCAGAAGGTAAAGGGTAGAGATGGTTTTGAGGAAGTTATTTATATTTAAATTGTGAAGTCAATGATGTTAAACAAAGTGTTCGGTGGAAGTTTATAGACAAAGAGCAAAAGTTTTGAGCCAAATCTCAGGAAATGTCAATATGTTAGAGCATTCTTTAAAAATGAGCCAGAGATAGTAAGCATAGAAACAATGTTACAAGGACCTCCTAATCCTCAGAACCTCTGAATATGTTACCTTACCTAAAAAAGGGGACTTTGTAGATACGGCTGAGTTAAGGAAGTTGAAATGGGCAATAATCCTGAATTATCGGAGTGAGTTTAGTGTAAGTATAGGAGACCTCAGAAGAGGGAGGCAGTAGAATTAGAATTGCAGAAGTGTTGACTATGGAAGGAGAGGGTGGAGTGATGTACTTTGAAGAAAGAGGAAGAGGCCACAATGAACATAGGTGGCCTTTAGAATCAAGAAAAGGCAAGATGACATATTTTCTCCTAGAGACTCCAGATTGAAGGCAGCGTCTGCCAACTTTGTCCTGTAATGTTGACTTTGTCCTGTAATACCTGTTTTGGATGACTGACCTCCATACCTGTAAGATAATAAATTTGTGCTGTTTTAAGTCACTAGGTTTGTGGTTCTTCATTACAACGGCAATAGGAATAATGATGGTAAGACAAGGGAGGAGAAAGTTTCAAGTATGAAAAAAGGATTAAGGCAACAAATGATTGAGCAAAGGTCAACTGGGTTGGGAGATATTCGGGTTATTGGTAGCATTGCTAAATACAGGTTTGTTTTTTTTTTAGGAGCAGGAGAAGTTAAATCAGATAGCAGTGGGTTAAGAAATGAATGAGTGGGGGCTGGGGATGTGGCTCAAACGGTAGCGCGCTCGCCTGGCATGCGTGCGGCCCGGGTTCAATTCTCAGCACCACATACAAACAAAGACGTTGTGTCCGCCAATAACTAAAAAATGAGTGTTAAAATTCTCTCTCTCTCTCCCTCTCTCACCCTCTCTTTAAAAAAAAAAAAAAAGCTTAAGAAAGACACTCTAGAACTCAATAAAATAATCAATAACTTAGCCTTAACCGACACATATACAATATTTTATCCATCAATGAGTAAACACACTTTTTTCTCAGCAGCACATGGATCCTTCCCTAAAACAGTCCATCTATTATGCCACAAAGCAACTCTTAGCAAATACAAAAACGTAGAGATTTCATTTTATCAGATCATAATGGAATGAAATTAGAAATCA